CTTTGTTCAGTGACTTCAGTCCATTTATTTGGGTTATTGTAGATAGGGAAGAACTTAGTGTCATTTCAGTTTTTGTTCTGGTTGTTTTGTAGCCACTTTAATCCTTGCTTCCTCCCCCCCCCCCCCCGTCAACCCCTGACCACTTTTGTGTGGTATTAAGCTTTGGTCCCTTTTTCTCTTTATCACAAGGCTCTTGAAGCATCCCACACTTGCCCTACCCCTCTTGTTTGGGGAGGGGTGGGGTTCCAGAGATGGGACCTCTCAGGTTAGACTCCCAAATGAGACAAAGTTAAGGATAAATTGTAGGAATCAGAATGTAACTAAGAAAGATACTATGTCTGTGAGGCACTCAAAATCAAGAGCAACTTGTTACCCAGTTGGTCCTTAAAAGGCTGATAAATAAAATACTTCAGATTAAGGAAAAGTGTGTACAGAGATGCAGATGTACACAATAAGCCACAGGACTTAGATGGAGGTGCCTTTTGAGTTAGAAGCAGACAGATAGAATCAGCATGTTTATTAGCTTGGTAAGTATTGGACAAAGAAAAAGTTGGTGAATTTGTGATATGTACAGACCAGTGTTCACTGGCAAGCTCGAGCACTGACAGGAGGCAGTCCAACAGAGGAGAGGGAGAGTGGATCACTGGTACAGTGTTCTTTTAATTAAAATCAGATCCCCAAACAAGGTTCTTGTTAAAGGGATTTGTCATGGGGATGATAAGAGTCTAATAAAAATAACTCAGCATGAAATTGCACGTTTCCGAGAGGAAGCAATAAATGGGAATTTGTGAGTCCGAATAGTCTTCCAAGTGTCCTAACGAACATTTCCAGGACCTGTTCATGGGAAATAGGGACATCCTGAGGGACCCTGAGGGTGTGTTAGAGATCTGACCCAAGAATTACTGAACTGGGTAATTGAGTGGGTTATGTTTGATATCTAGCAAGTACATATTTTGGAATCAACTTCCCTGTGCTCTTTTTCTTAATTTCTTTCTTATTTTAAAAATACAACCAAATACAGATAATGGCATAAGGAGCATTCATGTTCTCAGCACAGAGATGAATGTTGTTAATAGTGCCTCATATTTACTTTCAGTTCCTTTTAGTTTTTTTAAAAAATATATAGATGATGGAGCTGGAGAGGTGGTTAAAGTGGTAAGGTGCCTGCCCTGTAAGCCTGAGGACCCAGATTCCATTCCTTGTCTCCCTCATAAAAGCCAGTTACACGTCTGTAACCATGGTACTAAGCAGATAGAGACAGGTGGACCTTTGCAAGGGCTCACTGACCATCCAGGCTAGCCAAGTCAGTGAGTTCCTGATTCGGTGAGAGACCCTGTCTGAAAAAATGAAGTAAAAAAAAAAAAACAATAGAGGAAAGATACCTAGTGTCAGCCTGTCTGGTTTCTACTACAGTCTCCGCCCCCCTTCTCTCTCTCTCTCTCTCTCTCTCTCTCTCTCTCTTTCTCTCTCTCTCTCTCTCTCTTTCTCTCTCTCTCTCTCTCTCTCTCTCTCTCACACACACACACACACACACACACACAGAGAGAGAATGAACTTTTTTCTATTTTATGTGTATGTGTACTTAGCCTGCATGTGTGTATACCACTTGTGTGTCTGATGCCAAAAGGAGATGTAGAATTTCCTGGAACTAGAGTTACAGGATTTTAGTCACCATGTGGGTCCTGGGAATTGAACCCAGGTCCTCTGGAAGAGCAGCCAGTGCTTCATCTTTCTAGCCCCATAAACTTTTATAATTGTAGATAAAATTGAAATTTTTTAAAAATCCTTTTACAGCCCTTTCATCTCTCCCCTCACATTTTTCCTTTCATCATAGACAACAATCCTGAACTTCATATGATCAGTGTATTTATTTTCCCACAAACTCATATTTTGTACTTATAATTTCCTTGAGAATATATAATGCTTTTTGGTTTTGTGGCGTTCAAAAAATAAAAAAAAAAAAAACATTTTATAGAAGTAATATATCGTGGCACCTTTCACAGTTTTCTTTTTTCACGAATGATGTATTTGTTTTTTAGTCCTGAGTGTTTTGGGTTTGGGAAAGTTTTTTCTTTGTCTGTCTGGGCTGGAACTCCCAGAGATCCTGCTGCCTCTGCCTCCCAAAAACTGGGACTAAAAGTGTGTGCCACCACTCCTGGCAGAACAGTATGTTTCTATGATCTGTGTTTGGAGAGTCAAATCTAGCCGTCTCTTTTGTTGTGCAGCATGTCATTACCCCAACATGCAGTACATTCCTTGTTGCTGTGAATAGAGGGAACATTAAAAAGGCCACATTCCTAGAGAACAAGAGCATAGAAGGAGAGGAAGAATGACCTTCTGAGGTGACTACATGGAATGGAGAGACAGTATTGCTTTAATATCTGTAGTAATAGTGACTGACTTTGTGCTGGGAAATGTTCTAAGCACTCTTAGGTAGATACTGCTGTTGACCTTACTTTATAGACAGTGAGACTGAAGCCCAAAGAGCTTACTCAAATACTAGAGTATCTAATTACCTGGAGTGACCTAACTAAGTACCAGAACTAGGACCCAGACCCAGCTCAACACATTCCAAAGACAAGGCTCTTGGGTGTAAGGTTGTCTGGCTGGCTAGGCAAGGGTCCCATTTTTCCCTCCTGTGAGTTCCTCCTGAAACTACACATCCTTCCTCCCAGATGAGGACCATGCTCTGTCAAGGGTATAAAAGAACCTGTGCTTCCCCAGCAGTACCTTCAAGCTAGCTCCCAAGACAAAGCTTTAAGCTACACTGCCATGCTGTGTATCCATCTTCATATCTTGCCTGGTAGCCTTACCCTTCACTGACTGTAATCCAGCTTCCATTGCAACCGCCTCCTTAAAATTGCTTTAGCCTGCATCAACAAGATGATTTCAACTCTATTCTTTCTGTAGCTTCTGGTGAAGTTGATACTTGCAGCCAGTACCTAGTACATCAAGTACATGCAGCCTGTGTTTTACAGGGATGAATAAGGCAGGCAAACTGCAGTGGCTGAAGAATGCTTGTGTCTTGTTCAGTGGATGGCTGCAGACTTGTTTGTGGATGATTAATAGGCCAATTCGCTGCCCCAGTCCTGTGTTTGTCTCTGACTAAAATAAATCATATAGTTGTTTCATTTGTGGCTTCACAACATAGGAAAGTAATATATTTAAGTATTTACTACTTTTGATTTTATTTTTCCAAATAGGAATCTGTACAATCCATGTGATTGTCTTGATGGTGACAATTATTTCTCATTATTTCTCATGTAATTATTGAAAATGAATGGCAAAAAGTTAATTTGCTTTGACCTTTTACCTATTTTCTCTACTAGAATCTATTTGAATTAATTTAATGCTAATTTGAAAACATCCAAATCTCTGCAGAATATTTAATAATTTTCATTCCATATGGCCAAACAAAAAGCTACTCCAAGCAAAATTCTTTCATTTGTGAAGACACAGTGGTAAGCTTTTTATCCTGTTGCCAAGGCCAAGCATTGGAACCAACATGGAAGGGAAAGCATTTCTTGCCTCTTTCCACGTCGTTCACAGTCACTCGCTGTGTTTTCATCCCTTTCCTCCATCCAATAAAGAGGGAAAAAGGTTCTCTCACTCTGCCTCATGCCTAAAACTAGTGCGTGCTAGCTGTGTTTGAATGGGAATATGTTTTCTCTGGTGACTGGAAGCGACTCCAGTCCTCAAGGCTATATCCTGGGTTACTGTTTGTGCCTGAGAGCTGTTTGTTTGCAGCAGCAGTTAGCAATTTTCCTGGACAGTGCTGTCATAGCCATTGCCTTCACTGAAACCCAAATGCCTCTTAGAAGAAAGATGACAGATTCCACCCAGCCACTTGCAAAACTTTAAAAGCAATTCCTTGTCAAACACGTGAAAAACAACTCTTCCTTCTCTATAACTTGAAGGGGGAAAAAAGAGAATATCTTACTCCAGATGTTGGTTCCTTGCTAGTTAAACAGGCCTGGGCTGGTTCATCCCCATTCCTTTATGTTCTCTCTGCAAAACCCACAGAGAACACATTTGGGGCCACTTTGCAGAATTGGCAAGAGTCTCTGCTTTTTAAGGGAATCATATGGACACAGAATGCCACAATCAATAGACTCGGAATCCCCAGGGCCCAGAAATGGGATGCTTAGGACTCACATTCTAGGTCATCAGTTAGAATATGGCCTGGACCCAAGAATCATCCCAATTGTTGCCAGGTTTTGCTTACTTGATTAAACTTGATTCAAACAAAACTAGGTTGAGAAGAGTTTGTATTTTCTTGTTGATTAGTGGTGGGAGCCGGGGAAACGACAGAAAGAAATGAAGGTGGGGAAGGAGTCAAAAGAGGAGGAACTCAGAACTTTAAGACTCCCCTTTTGGGGGACAGGTGATGCAGCCCATCCACTTTCTCACCACTGCAGATCTGAGCAGGCCAAGCTTTTCATTGGAGTTAGGTGCCTTTCTTTGCCATCTACATGAAAAGTGTTGCAGCTGTATTCATGGATTTAAAGAGGGTCAGAGAGGACTTCAGATCTGGAAGGGAAGAGGGGAGGAGAGGGAAGGGGAGGAGAGGGGAGAGGAGGGAAGAGAAGAGAACAGAGGAGAGGAGAGAGAGGAGAGGAGAGGAGATTTATTGACAAATCTGGCATTCCAAAGGGATGGATACCCTAGGATGTAGTGGAATCCACATTGAAGATACTGAGGCATCCCTGGTCACCTCCTTGCTAGGGATGTTGAGGACTTAAAACAATATACTGGTATTTGTATTAGTTGTGTTGGGTTTTTTGTTGTTGTTGTGCTGCTGGTGATGGTGTTTTGTCTTGGTTTGGTAACTTCTTTACCTAGGTCTATGTATCTGGAACCACAGCCCAGCCCTTCACCTGTTTCCTTTTAATATCCTTGACTTGGGTCATTCTCAACTATTTCAGCCAATACATCTTGTCTGATTAGTTCTGCTTATGTACAAGTCAACATTGACCTTTTTGTTACTATTTCCCCTTTAGGTGTCTGAGCACACTCAATTAAGTTGGATCCTCACCTGCATGGTCAGACTGCCTCGACTACAGCATTTACACCAGTGGAAGGTAAATGCCAAGATATGATTATTAATGGGAAGAAAGGCTTCTGTTTGTTGTGCCAGGTTCTAGGCGTCCTGAGTTCAGGTTCTAGGATTCCTGAGTTCACTTGCCACCCTGGTATGCCACTCACTTTTGGCTGGAGCAGCATCATTCACCTGTCCACATCACTGTGTTAAGCAGGAACTAGAAGGCTTCACCAAGACATAATCCTGTTTGTTATTTGTTTTATCTGTATTTGGATAGACTTGTTAATGACCTTGAACCTACCACATTATAATTAATTAATGAACAGTCAGAATCTGTGGAATACTGGTCCCTGAGGTTGCCTCCCATCTCCACTGGAACTAACAAGCATCCCAGAAAGAACATGTTTCGCATTAAAACAAGTTGAGCCTAGGCAACAGTTAAAACTCACAGAAAGAAAATTAAGACTGTTGTTTTAGGAAGTCCCACCAAGAAAAGTAAATTAAATAATTCATCATACATTACTGCCATTTACTTTTGCAAATTAGTTAACTTGAAGTAGGTAGCCCCAACTATGTCAATACTAGTTTTAGTTTCAGCTTCTTTTGAGCATATTTTCTGCGTCCTGGGAAGATATGCTAAGGGAAATTCTGACTGGGACAGTGAGCACGGGAGGAGTGTGTGAGGCTGGGGTCAGGGTTGCTGAGGTCAGGGTTATCTGGACGGTTGATGGGACGGCATCTATAGCACATTAACAGCACTCAGTAATACTACTGTTCTTCCTCTACATTACCTTGCTTGCTTGTAATTACAAGGACCAGTATGCTAATATAAAAAGTACAGGGCTGGGGAGATGGCTCAGAAGTCATGAGTGTTGTTTGCTCTTTCAGCACCCATATTAGGTGGCTCGCAGCAGCCTCTAACTCCAATTTTAGGGGATCCTATACCCTCTTTCTGGCACCTACACACATGTGACATGCATACACACACACACAAACACACATATGCATAATTAAAAAAATAATAGAAATAATATATCCACAAATTGGGCAGCAAGATGACTCAGCACTAGCCTGATGACCTGGACTTGATTCCTAAAATCCACAGTGGAAGAAAAGAGCTGCCTCTCTAAAAGCGCTGACCCTCTGACCTCTACATGCAAGCTTTGGCATGAGCCTTCAGTCATGCCAACATGCATAGGTGCAAAAGGACATGTAGGTGTACACACACACAAATAAAGATTTATCAGTAAATTTAATACAACTTTATTTTTTGATCTTTTTCTAAAATATTTATTTACCATGTATGGGGGAGGGTGAGTGATGGCCTGTGGAGACTAGAGGACAACTCGCTGTAAGAGTTCTCAGTTTCCAGAATATGGGTCCTGGGGATAGAACTTGGGTCATCAGGTTTGTGGCAAGTATTTTTAAAACCACTGATCTGTTTTGCCTAGCCTGGTAAGCAGCTTCTCAAAAATTAGGCTGTTTTGGGGTTTTTTTTTTTTGTTTGTTTGTTTGTTTCCAAATTACTCTTTTCTAAATTAATCTTTTAAGAACTTCACCCAGTAACATTTATGATAAGAGGCAAGTTGATTCCTATTAACTTTTTGAAATTTAATTTTATAATGATTTCTGAATGTAGCTGATTTGGAATCTAGAAAATCCCTTTGTGAAATGAATGTGAAATAGAGTTGGCACAGGATCCCTCCTGGGACAAGGGGCCATGTGTGTAGCTCAGTGGTAGAGCTTGGGTGGGCTTTGCCCCAGCTCCAAAAATAAAATAACATGCAAATGGTAAAAAGTCCCTCTTACTTCTCCTAGAGGCTGGAGCATGAACATGATAAGCACCCAGATGACGATGACGCTAGAGCTGCTAAAAGGGACCGAAGTCTATGTTATTACAGGTGGCTCCAGTGCATACTTTGCTTCCTTAAAGTTTCTTAATTGAGCAACAAAATCAGGTTCAAGTCAGATTTCTTTCTCTTCCTCCTTGTTTCTCCAGGCTAAGGCTGCAAAGCAGAAGCATGGAACAGTAGGCCTGCTCACGTACCCAGTCCTGCAGGCGGCAGACATTCTGTGCTACAAGTAAGGAGGAAGGCCAACCCTGGGCTTGTGCTTAGGAACTCTCACCATGGAAAGTGTGTGTGTGTGTGTGTGTGTGTGTGTGTGTGTGTGTGATTTTTTTGTTCATGGAAAGGTCTCATTGTGTAGCTCAGGTTCCTTGTGAATGTGTAACCCTCCCACCTCAGGCTCCTGAGTGCAGGAATCACAGACATGTGTCACACAATAGTGTTTTTAACTCTTCAGGAAAAGGTTTGGCTTGCACAGAAGGGGCAACAAAAAAGGATCAGATATGTCAGTCAGCACTACGTACTAAATCTGTGTGTGTTTCAGTGACTTTTTAGACCTAGTACGGAGTGCCTACTATGTGTTAGTGATCTTTCTAAGTGATCTCTGTGTTTGAACCCTAATAGTCTTTTAAAATTTGTCATTGACACCCCTATTCTTCAGAAGAGGAAGCCAAGGCACAGAGTGGTCAGCAGCAGATCCAAAGTCACAGTAGCTGGTAAAGCATGGAGCCAGGATCTGAATCCTAGGGGTGCTCCCCGTCTAAGGCCAGGCAGAGTTGTCACGTTGAGTGTGTGGTGGTATGCTAGAAGGCAGTGACAAGAAATAGGTAGTAGCTAGAACTGCTCTTCTTGTGGCCAGGAAGCATAAGAGGAGAAGAGAAGGGAAGTGGGGGGGGGGGGAGGGAGGATCATGGACAGGAATGGGCATAACACCAGTCTGTAGTGGCAGTTATGTGAGTGTGAGCTCTCCATGTGTATCTGTTTTGTTTTCTCTAGTGGGGCTTGAACTGAGGGCCTCACACTTGCTAGACAAGCACTCTACCACTGTGCTAGACCTACAGTCCCATTTTTGTGTTTTGGCTTCTGAAACAGGATCTAGTTAAGTTGTTCAGACTGGCCTTGAATTCACTCTGTGAATTAACGCTGGCTTTTAACATGTATTCCTCTTGCGTCAGCCTTTGGGTAGCTGGAATTACAGCCTGTGTCCCAGGCCCAGCTCTAAATTTATTTTACTGTGCTGCTATCTGCCTTGCTTCTCATACTGTTTGTTGACATCAGTGAGCTAAAGAGGGGCGACGGGGGCTAAGTGCTTACCACGCTTTCTTAGTTTGGTAAAATTAGCACTGATGGGAGATGTCATTCTGTATGTTTCTCATACTGGTTAATAAATAAAGCACTGTTGGCCAATAGGAAAGGAAGATAGGAGGGACTAGGAGTCAAGGAGGAAAGAGGAAGTAGGAAGGAGGGGTCAGCATGGAGAGACCGGGGAGACCAGATGCCTGCCCCACTCCCTGGTAGGTGAAAACACGGGGAAATACATAGAAATGGGTTAATAATTAAGACAGAACTGGCTAATAAGAATCAAGTACCTGGCCAACAGAATTATATCAAATACAGAGTCTCAGTGTATTATTTGGGCCTGGCGCAGCGGGGGGACAAGACCAGGTGGCGGGCAGAAAATCCATACTCCTTACATAGCACAGACTTAATTTTTTCCAACTCTGTAATATCTCAGACAGATTAGTCCCTATTATAGATTTTAGCAATGTTAATACACAATTGCTTTCTTTTCCTTAAGTTGAGAACATTCACCTTTTCACCAGTTCCCTTCCATGTATCTGACTTACCAACAACATTGTACACTTTGGGACCAGTATAATGTGACTTAACCATTGTGGGGCTGCGTCCATTGATGTGAGAGCTCATGTAGCTCAAGGTACATAGTCATCATGGAAGTGTTGATTGATGATTGATGACACACTGGGGAAGGACAGTGTGTTGTTTAGAGTCACATGCATATTGTTTCTGGGATTTTTCGTGTTATATTTTTAGGCCTCAGTTGATTTTAGGTAACTACAAAAATTAGAAACCTACAAAAATTTAAACTGTGGCAAGAGGTACCTGATGTATATTTTTATCTGTTGCCCAAAATCTAATTGGCAAAATGGTATTGTAGTTCTTTTATTTGCAAATTGGATGAACAGGGCACCCCTCTGGGAGTTATTGAGCAAATTGCATAGGAGCCACAGCACATGACACGAACTCTATGGTTTGTAGATATAGGAGGACACTTAGGAGACTGGCATTAATGAAGCTGCCTCCTAACATCTCAAAGAATGTTGTATGTGCTGCCGTGTTTAGACTCAAGCCCTAGGTTTTAAATGTCCCCATATCATAAACAAAACTGAGTGGTTCCGATGTGGCAGGCAAACCTTAACATTTTCTGCTGGCTATTCTGTATCTGTCTACTTCCAACATCAGCAAGATTCACTCAAAAAAATACTTAGTGTTTCCAAGGTAGGTAGGTATTTCTTTCCAATTCTGTACGTGCTGATTCAGTGGTTGGAATAGTGCTTCTTCCAGGATTCAGAAAGGAAGGTGGATGATAATGGCAGAATTCTTCTGTTCTTATCCATGTTCTGATATGTAGAAACAGTTTGTCCAAGCAAACAGATAAAAAATTATTTTCTACAAGACCAGGCAATTTTCTATCTTCAAGATGGTGGTCTCCTTCATTAGCCTAGACATTTCTTATCATATTTCAGGCTCTGCAGCTGGGAGTAGTTTCTGTTTTTTTGTTTTGTTTCACATATTTCTGTATATGTGAAAAGTTGTAGCCAAAATGTCTAGGAATATTTATATTACAAACACAGGTATGTTGATAGATTGAAGTATGGGTAAAATATCTGATTCCTGTCCACCAGAAAATGTATGGCCTCTTCATAAAAATATTAGTGCAAGTCAAATATAGGTTTCGCATTTGCTTTTGTTAAAGTCTGCATGAGAATGAGTGGTATAGTAAGCCAGAAAACAAACACTAGGACAGGAATGGAGAAGCAGCTTCAAATAGGCTTAGAGAAGACATATGTAATTGTTTTCATAGGGGTTGTTGAAGGAACCCAGGGATAGAGAGCTGAGATTATCTTATCCAGAGAACATGATAAAGAACAGAAATTTAAGCCAAGCCTGTAAGTATAGGTCTGTGATCCCAGCTCTTTATCAGGCTGGGCAGGAAGGTCACAAGTTCAAGGCTAGCCTGAGTGACTTTTTTTTTTTTTTTTTTTTTTTTTTTTTTTTTTGGTTTCTAATTGGGTTTTTTTTGTATTTTTTATTATTGTTTTTCTTTTACATATTGACCCCAGCTCCCTCTCCTTCCCTTCCTCCCTCTCTCCCTCCCTTCCATCCCCCACCATCACCTTCCCATCCCATTCCCCCCCACTCCACAGGGAGTTGGTGCCTTCTAGGAGGGATCATCAAAATCTATGAAGTCATTTGAAGTAGGGACTAGGCTCTCCCTCCTGCCTCTAGTATCCCTCCATGGGGAATGTGCTCCTAAAGTCCTTTTGTGCACCAGGAATACATCCTGGTTCCACTGCCAGAGGTGCCTTAGACTGCCCAGGCCTTCTAGCTGAGACCCATGATCAGGGTGTCTGAATCAGTCCCATGCTGGATTCCCAGCTATCAGTCTGGGGGCCCATTTGCTCCTTCTTTTTCAGGTCAGCTGTCTCTTTGGGTTTCTGTAGTATGGTCTTGTCCTCCTTCTCTGCATCTGGATTCCAGTTCAGTTCAGTGTTTAGTTGTGGGTGTCTGCTTCTGTTTCCATCAGCTACTAGATAAGGGCTCCGTGATGGTGGATAAGTTAATCATCATTCTCATTATCAGGGAATGACATTAATGGTGGCCTTTCCATTGTTGCTCAAATTGTTAGTTGGGGTCAGTCTTATAGGTCTCTGGACATTTCTCTAGAATCAGTTTTCTCTTCAAACCTATAATGGCTCCATTTTGTTTCTATATATATATATACATATATATATATATATATATATATATATATATATATATGAATGAGAGAGAGAGAGATACACACACAATGTATTTATATTCAGCAGGTATTTTTAAGTACATGTGATACAGCAATTCTAGACAGAGCCACTGTACATGCTGGAGAAGGGAAGACCAACAAGTGTTGAGCAGAGAAGGGAAGGGAAGACCGACAAGTGTTGAGCAGAGAAGGGAAGGGAAGACCGACAAGTGTTGAGCAGTATTCTCCAGGACATCCTGGTGGCTGATAGAATCATGCCATTCAGATTCTCAGGGCAGCTCTGTAAGGTAGGTGGGTGATACCCACATAAAGAAATTAGCTTTCGGGGCGAGGCAGTGCGGTGCCTGAGCACTTCCCTAGTATGTGTGAGGCATCACCAAAACTAATAATAAATAGTAACAATAAGTAATAATCTTTACATTTTAAAATGAGAGAAATTAGCTCTCAGGGAAAATCTGCTAAGTCTGCATAGACAGAGTGATCCCCTGACGTTGGGTTATGTATGTTTCCCAAGAGTTTGAGCTGAGAAACAGGAGATGAGGTGGAGACAGTAGATCAGTAGGTACAATGGTCCTAGGGAGTGTGCTCAGCAGAGCGTTGCACTCACCTCCAAGCCTGGCAACCTAAGTGCAAGCCTCAGAGCCTATGTGCAAGAACATTGGAGAACATTGACTCCCACAAGTAGTGGCAGGCCATAGTGCACACACTAAGTAAATAAATGTTTTTTAAAAATAGTTTGAAATGACACTGGAGAGTGAGTAGTAAAAACTCTTAAGTAGAAACCACGCTCTTCTAGTCGTCTTTTTTTTTTTTTTTTTTTTTTGTAGTGATGACATACCTGAGGTAAGTCAGCTTAAGTCAGTCTTGGCTTGGGGTTGGGAATTCCAGCACATGATTGGTTGGCCTCGTCGCTTTGGGTCTAGAGTGAGGCAGGATGTCATAGTGGAAACATATGGTGGGACAAAGCTGCTTTATTTCATGGTGACCAAAAACAGGTCTAGGGAGGCAGACCGAGGTCGCCAAATCCCCTGCAAGGGCCACACCCCAATGACCTAACTTATTTCTAGTAGGCCCAGCTCCAAAGGGGTTCCACATCTCCCAGTAGCACCATAGACTCGGCCCCACATGGTCTCTGGGGGACATTTAAAATACAAAGGAAGCCAAGAAACAAAAAGTCTACACTTTTGGAATTTCAGTTTGGTGGTTTCAGTTTGCAGGAGAGTCTTCCTGTTGTCTGGGGGTGGGAGTGCTGCCCTAGGAGTGAGCTTTTTTTTTACAGCAGGTCTTAAAACCTTAGGGTTCCTAAACTTCCTCCAGTGAGCCCAGGCCGTCTTGGAATCTTCCGATATCCTGAAAACTGCTGCCCCAACTTCATTCTACCATACTGCCTGCGCCTGCACGGTCCTTTCTTCTCTTTCTTTCTAGAATAACTATAGAGCATAGTGCTCTATTAAACCAAACTCCATTGGGAAGAAGTCTGAGGCATGGAATCTCCAGGCTTCTGGCCCCTCACTCCCCAAAGAGAGGAGTGAACTGTAGTCGACAAACAAGCCCACATGTGCTCCGCAAAGAGTAGGAAGCTGTCTGTAACGAAGTATGTTTTTTTTCCCGCCCGGCCCCACGTTTGGGCGCCATCTGTAAGGTGTACAGTTTTTTCCTCCCGCCACCAGTCTTGTCCTGCTGCCCCACCAGCCCCCATTAATACACAGAGACTCTGTATTTGATATTATACTGTTGGCCAGTTACTACTTTCTTATCGGCTAGCTCTGTCTTAAGTATTAACCCATTTGTGTTAATCTATGTATTTCCATGTGGTCTTCTTACCGGGAGCCGGCTGCCGCATACAGCTCTCTCCAGACTCTCCATCTTGGCTCCTCCTTACTTCCTCTTTCCTCCTTGTCTCCTAGCCCCTCCTATCTTCCTTTCCTATTGGCCAACAGTGCTTTATTCATTAACCAGTATGAGAAACATATACAGAATGACATGTCCCATCAGCTGTCTGTATTTTAAGGACAGTGAGTTGGGTGTCATCAATGCTTTCTAAAGGAACCCTTAAATGCAAGATGAAGCAAATGAGACTAGCAGCTGGGACAGTCTTCTCAGAGGCCATTGCACCAGCCTAGAGCACCACAGTGGTGGTAAAGAAAGAAATACTACTTCACAGTAGATCACATATGTATGACTGATATGTTGGAGGTAACCACACATTCATTATGATGTTGCCTTGCTCTAGGTGGACAGTCCTAGGAGAGGACTAATCACAAGTTAGTTTCCCTCAATGTCTAATAAGTAATTGCTATAATGGAGAGTCATTGCAGCATGTCCAGTAAGCAATCAATGAGGGGGAACCAATACTTTGTGACAGACAACCCCAAGCCCCTTTCCCAGTCTGCTGAGTAAAGGCAGCCAATCTGAAACCTCACAGGCAGAGCCAAGCAAGTAGGGAAAAGCAAGATGTACATAGGCACAAGGCTCATTCATCTGGACACTAATGCTGCCAAAGGGGAGGAACAGAGCCCAAGTAAACTTTGAGGCAATAAGGATGGATACAGAAGAAAAACGCTTCAGTCACCAAAGAAGAAGATCAGAGGCATTATTATGTGACAGAAGTTATAACAATCAAAATTATGAAAGACTTTTGTTTTATGTTGTGTCTGAGAAAGCACAGCCGGGGTGAGAGGGAATAAAGAGGAAGGAGAGAAAGAGTGGACGTATTAATATGGATATCATTATGTCGGATATAAATTTTAAAAGCACAGCCCTAAATTATTTGAAGTGAAAGGCAGACTATGAGGAGAGAGGTTGAAAACGTGAAGAGAATAAGCCCCATAAGTGAGTGGAATCAAAGCCAGGCTGAATCATGTAAAGTGTGAACTCAATGGATGAGAAGCAAAGGCCGAGATAAATTACAGGAGGTGAAAGCGGCAGCGGCCGCAGAGGGAAGAGGGACCAGAAACAAACAAACCAAAGTCAGATGCAAATGCCACGTGGAGCAACAGGACCAGGTGAAAAAAATTAAAATGTTTTTAATCCTCTTACCAAAAAAAAAAAAAAAAAAAAAATCAAAACCCCACAGAATTGTAAGAAAAGAGTCAAGGATCCAACATGAGGCAAGACGCACACCGAGTCATTATGAAAACTAAATGTGTTTTCTGTTTAGTGGGGTGGCTTTGTGAATCTGGAACCATTTTGACATGTGGAAATATTCATTTTGATGTGCTTAAAGTGTATTGATTATGGTAATTGTTTTTTCTGTGTTAGTTGCAGTCCATTGTGATTTCCTATGGGCTACTGTAATTGCTTTTTAACCTGCTCTGTTGGCTAATTTGGACTAGGGGAGCCAAGGTGACCTCTGCGTATGAGCCCCACTATAATTACTAGGTAAGAGCAGCAAAGACCAATCGAAGAGAAATTGACAAAAGCAGGCCATGTGCTTGTGGAATCCAGAGAGGAGCCCCGTGCTGAGCAGAGGGTATGGAGTAACCATGCCATTTCTAACACTCACTGAGCCACTGGCCTTCTGCTGCAGTGGGTTGAGATCTCCCAGGCCCTCTGCAGTTTCCCTGAACTGCTTTTGCTGACCTCAGAGGAGGAGGAAGCACTTCCTGGCTCACAGCCTCAGCCACACCTTCACCTTTTCACTCACTGTTCTGTTTTTCTTGTGTCTGAGTTCTCAGAAGTCCCATCAAATAGTTTATATGTGGGGATCACCCAACACTTTCACATATATTCTGTACCCAAGTCTGGATTGTCACTGGGTCTAGGCCATCCCTGGGGTTGAGCACTGGTATTTCTGTTTTGCAAGGTGAGTTGGCCATTAAAATAAAAATCTTATTCGAGGAATCAGTATGCCTCCCATAAGGCCATTTACATGTCTCTCTTGCCATTGTGGCCTTCATCGTATCAAACACTGATGAGTATTTGTCATATCTATTGTTTCCATGTATTGAGCTTTTACTATCAGGAGGTACACTTCGTAAGCCTAGAAACAGCCGGAAAAGGATGGTACCATCATTGTCTCAGTTTACAGAGGAGATGAAAGCTCGAGAAGAAAGAGAGACTCCTTGATTGGAAGCTATAGCTGTGCTATCAAACCTAACCCCACAGCCAAGTATCAAACATTGAAATCACCTGACTCCACCTGCAGTCATACTTCCTGAATTCCACTCCAGGATTCCATGCTTTGAACTCCATGTGCAGGAATGATATAATAAATAGATTTTGTACATTCTGAGTGGATTTTTTCACATCCTTATTTCTTAATAAATAAAAATTTTTAGATAAAATTCAGGTTACCTTGGCTCTTTTTCTCAAGCCATTTTCTTCTCTACAGACAGCTACAATGAATTAGAAAAGGTGGTTCAGGTGTGTCTTTTTTTTTTTTTTTTTTTTTTTCTGTCTTTCATTCTCATCATCCCTGGAGATACAACCCAGTGCCTTAAATGGATAAGGCAAGTGTTTAACCACTGACCCACAACTTCAGCCTTTACCAGGTTGCTATAATCATTACAGATCTGTGCACCTATATGTAGCATTTGAACAAATACTTTCATAATTTGCATAGATGCCAGTGTACTCTTTACATGCCCCACACTTTGCTTCCTTCGTGCTGTATTATCTTTAAGATCCATCTGCATTGTACTTTGAGATTTTCATGTATGTTCCCCGCACATCTTAACTGTCCTCCGATCACAATTCCTTGAAAATACAGAAGCATATTGCCGAAAGATCTTGAATCATTCATTGTTTGATGAGAAGAAAAACCCTCTGGCCGGAAGAGCTGTCTGCCATCTCTAATTTGAAGAATGGGTGGGGTATCTTTCAAGTGTGAGCCGCAGCTCTGAGGTAAAAGCATCTGGTCTAGGCTGGAGTAATCTGTGCTGACTGGGTGAGGGATGAGGAGTGGCTTTTAAACACAATTATGTGCAGTGCATGTGCTATTGAAGATGCCATGGCTCCCTCCAGGCAGGGGCCTGTCATGCTGGTGTTGATGGCTGCACTCTATTGCGATGGGAGAAACAGAACCGGAATAGACAAACATCTCTTCAGCCTTTGTCTGACACACAGATAAAGACTTGGGTCTCAGTGTTCACTCTGTAGTTGGTGAACATTTGTTGAACACTGACAGTGAAGTAGGCACAGGACATGCAGCTGCTTGCAATATCACTTCCGGCTAAGAAGGAGCCTTGCTGAGTTTTTCTATCTGTGTTTTATTAAAGGTCCACACACGTTCCTGTCGGAGAGGATCAAGTCCAGCACATGGAACTAGTTCAGGATCTAGCTCGAAGTTTCAACAAAAAGTATGGGGAGTTCTTTCCACTGCCCAAGTCCATTCTCAGTAAGTAACAAGTAGATGGTTGTGAAATCTGGGCACATGCTGAGGAGTGGACTGGAGACCTGAAACTTCGTTGGGACTAAATTTGGCTTTCTCACTGGCAGGCTTCAGGATTCTTATCTGGAATCCTTATTGTTTACGGCTATGTGGGACTAGGAGATGATATGGGATTCTAGAAAACATAAAAAAAGAAATTGTGAAATATGGAGGGGAACTTTAAAAAACATAATTTTAGTTTATAAAATATGTGTCAATAGAATGGGTGTATAAAATAAGATTTTACTTGATGGAGCAAATTACACACATAACATAGAGTAAGGCTCAGCAAGGTTCACTCTGTTTTCAAGTCACATGTCTAGTTGATCACAGAGCTGAGCCCTGTCAGCTCTTCTGATCCCAAAGCCTATGGCCTCACCCTTCTTAACAATCACAGTAAGATAAATGTCAGGAGAATGAGAACTGCTCAGTCATACTCTATACACAATGAGAGAGAATCAAACACTGTTTTCTGAAATGAACAGGAGAACTGGGACAGTCTAACACTGCATCTGAAATGCCAGCCTCAGATCCACTAGGGAATCCTACACGCATTGACGTCACCCTCCTTTTTTAGCAATAAGATTTCAATGTTCAGCCTATTACTGTTTTACCTATTTCAATTTCATCTTTAATAGCCATAAACTAAGCAATTATCAATAACACTGGCTTATGAAGTGCAGCTTAACATGCCTCCCCTTGTGTGTGTGTGTGTGTTTCTATGTCTGTGTGTGTGTGTGTGCATGCATGTCTGTAAATATATAATTCTGTGTATAGGTGTGGAAGGATTGCCAGAGATGGTTAAAGTTGCAGCATTCCTATAGCAAGGTGGGAGGTGGAGACAGGAGAATGGTCAGCTAGCCTAGGGGATGCTTCACAGTTGTAGAAGGAAAAGATAACCTGCCTCAAAGTGGATGACAAAAACAAATTCCCAGAAGTTGCCCTATGGCCACAAATTAACCATAATACATGTGTATCTGTAAACACATACACACACATAAAAAATTATATATGCGTGTGTGTATGTATGTATATATACATATATTTATTATTTTTCCTTATTTTACATATCAAAACCAGTTCCCTCTCCCTCCCTCTCATGTCCCTTCCATCCCATTCCCCCTCCACAGGGAGGGTGATGCCTTCCAGGAGGGATCATCAGAATCTGTCAGGTCATTTGGAGTAGGGTCTGGGACCTCCCTCCTGCCTCTAGGTTAAGGGAGCATCCCTCCATGACGAATGTGCTTCCAAAATCCTTTTGTATAGCAGGGATACATCCTGGTTCCACTGTCAGAGGTCCCATAGACTGCCTGTGAATTTCAAGATTCCATTGGGTTTTGTTTTGTTTTGTTTCTGCTGAGTAGTTGAGGGGCATCCTGGTTGCTTCCAGCTTCTTGTTATTACAAATAATGTTGCTACAAACATAGTTGAACAGATGTCCTTGTTGCATGATGTGGATCATTTGAGTATATGCCTCAAAGTTGAATTGCCGGGTCCTGTGGTAGATGGATTCCCATCTTCCTTAGGAACAGCCGTAGTGATCTCAAAAATGGCTGTACAAGTTTGCACTCCCACCAGCAGTAGAGGAGTGTTCCTCTTTCTATACACACAATTTTTAAAAATATATTAAGTGTTCACAGAGCTTAAGAGATGACTTGGAGGGTAAAGGTACTCACCATGTAAATCTGGTGGCCTGGGCTCCGTCCTGGGACCCATAAGTGTGCACTGCATGAACTATATAACCAACATAATTCCATTTGTGTCAGTTATACCCTGAATAACCACTGCTGATACATGCTGTGGATATTGTGTTAAGACCTGTTTCTGCTGTCTTTATTTGCACAATTTGATAAAATTGTTCAAATTCTTCAAGATGAAGGTGTGCCATTTTTGTTTTTGTTTTTCAAGAAAAAGTTCCTCTGTACCTTTGGAGTCTGTCCTGGAACTTGTTCTGTAGACCAGTCTGGCCTCAAGCTCACAGATATCCGCCTGCCTCTGTCTTTTGAGTGCTGGAATTAAAGTCTTGGGCCACCACTGCCCACAGAAGGTGTCTTATTTGTGCAATCAGATATCTCTGCTGTTTTTGGTGTCTTCAAGGTCTATACTGTATCATTCTTGATGGCTTGTCTTGTTTTCACCAGCACCCATGAAGAAAGTGAAATCCCTCCGTGACCCCTCAGTCAAAATGTCAAAATCGGACCCCGACAAACTGGCCACTGTTGGAATAACAGACAGCCCAGAGGAGATTGTGCAGAAATTCCGCAAGGCTGTGACAGACTTTACGTCAGAGGTCACCTATGAGCCAGACAGCAGAGCTGGTGTCTCCAACATGGTGGCAATCCATGCAGCGGTGTCAGGGCTCTCAGTGGAGGAGGTGGTGCGCAGCAGTGCAGGCATGGACACTGCACGTTACAAGCTGCTGGTGGCAGATGCTGTGATTGAGAAATTTGCTCCAATCAGGAGTGAAATTGAGAAACTAAAAATGGATAAGGACCATTTAAAGAAGGTTTTACTTGTTGGGTCTGCAAAAGCCAAAGAATTAGCCTGTCCTGTGTTTGAGGAGGTGAAGAAATTGGTGGGGATTCTATAGGAAGTCAGCCAGTTGCTACACTCCTTCAAGGCAACTTCCCGCTGGCAGATTTTAGTCTGTACATACTTGGTTTGATGGTTAGCTTCATTTGATGAATGCTTCCAATCCGTGTTCCGATTCCATCAGCAAATGGTCTAATGAGGAGAGCACAGCTCTCTATACCCCAGTTAACTGAGGTACATTTTGGGGTCTGAAGTATTCCTACATACTTGACAGCTAAACAGTGACTGAGCTCTGTTTGTGTAGTGTAGTCTGCTTGTTTGTGTAGTCTTTGCTGTAACTTTATCTGTCTGTGAACCCCTTTTATAGCTGTGCATGGAGGCTGTAAGCCTGAATCCAGTTTTTATTTGGAGCTCGTAAAGATAGGTTGATTCTTACAGCTTATGTGTCACTGAGATGATGTTTGTCCTCATGTATTTGAGAGACTTAACTTGGACCAGGAAGGTGACTCAGGCTCAAGGCACATGCTACCAAGCCTGACAGTCTGAGTTCAGTCCCCAAGATCAAGGTGATGGAAAGAGAAAACTGACTGGCATGATGTCCTCTGACCTCCATTTGTGTACCATGGTATAAGTACACACAACAACAACAAATAAATAAAAATATAATAATCTACTTAGCTTCTACTTGTTTCCTAAGAAGCCACACTGGCTTATTCCAACAAATGTCTGTTCTTGCACTCAGAGATTCAGGAGGTCACCATTTGGAAGCGTTGAATTGCTTTACTTGAGTTTATTTATTATACAAGGCCCAAGTCATGGAAAGGTTTGTTTGGTTTGATTTGGTTTTGGTTTTTTGAGTCAGAGTTTCTTTGTGTGGCTCTGGTTGTACTAGATCTTGTTCTGTAGACCAGGCTGGCCTCTAATTCACAAAGGTCTACCTGCCTCTTCCTCCCACGTGCTGGGATTAAAGGCGTGCACCACCACCACCACCACTGCCGCCGCCGCCGCCGCCGCCGCCGCCGCCGCCGCCGCCGCCGCCCAGCTGGATCGTGTTCTTAATAAGCACTTTGATTTTTACACTCATCTCAATTTAGTCTCACTAACCCCTCCCTCTGAAACAGATTGGAGAGGAGTTGCATTTTACACATAATGGAACCAAGGGGCAGAAGGTAGAATTAGCATGTACAGTATCACTGAATAAGAAGCAAATCGGAGAGTGGAGCCTTTTCTCCCTACTCCCACAACTAGTGCTTTTTAAGAACTCTCCCCAAAGCCTCAAGGGACAAAGTGTTGAACCGCCAAACATTCCAGTTTTGAAGGTGGTACTGGAAAGACAAAGCCTGAAATACTGATTGAGTTTGTATCAACTCAGCTAATAGCTGTGTGTTTAAAATCCAGATCCAGCTTGCATTGGTTACATTTACCCCTCAAAACCCCAAAAGTGGGTCCCAAGGCCTTGCTTCTAGATTGCTGAGATGCCTGCATGTCTCTGCCAGACTCCAGTGGGAGTGAGGGCTAAAGCCTCTGATATCCCCCATGAAGAGAAGATCTCATATCTGACTCAGTCTCTAGGAAATAACAAACCACCCAGAACATAGATCAGCACTTCATGTTCACAATTGAAAATAAAAATGGCAGCTCTGGCTTGCACACAAAGGCCTAATATCAAGTTGACTTTGCAAGGGCCAGCAAGATGGCTCAGCAGAAAAGGGCACTTTGATGCCAACCTAGCCTGAGTCCAGTCCCTGAGGACCACATGGTAAAAGGAGAGAAACGATTCCCCAAAGCTGTGCTATGATTTACACACATGCACCACAGTGGCATACACAAGCCTGTCCACACACAGGTATTTTTTTTTTAATTTTAAGATTGATTTCACATTCCATTGTCACTTAGATGACAGGGACCAGGAGACACTGCATCCCAGTGGGTATGATGCCGATAGTGCAAATAGAGAACTTGCCCATCATGGACCTGCTGATTGGACAACACTGCTGTGAAGCATGGAGCTTACTTGTGCTTGGAATAGATCAAAAGCATGGTATGGGATTCTTCCTGGAAGGGTCCTCCTGAGGACAGTATAGTTGACCCATACAGTTTGCAAAGACAAAAACAACAACAACAAAACTTAATGCACTATCAAGCATTATGCACTGCCATACACTGGGAATTGAGCATATTTTAGTGCAATATATAATATAAATATCACATTTACAACAACCCTATAAGATAGGAGTTCTCAATTCTACTCTTTAAAGTGAGAAAGCCTACTCAGCAATGTGTCTAAAGCCACATGCTTATTATTAGCTTCAGGTTTCTCCTAATTGGAGAACTGAGGTATGCCTTGAGTACCAGCCCTAAATAGTGGTCTGACCTTGCTAATCCACAATCTTCTCTGCTCCATTATATTCTCATTCCTTACATTTTCCTTTCCTGCCTCTCCCGTTCTTCCTTCTTGCTTCACTGTTCTTATAATTATTCTCTAAAATTTCATTCGTGCACACAACACCACCCTTAGCCTTTGTTCCCAAAGGGAATGACTGTGCCATGTGGCAGATCTTGGTCTCTCCCTAACATGAGAATCCATCTGTGTCGTCATTTAAGTATGTGTTATCCCTGTGTGATGACTATTTTTCATTCTGTCACCTTGGTGGCTTTTGAAATTTTTTTTTGCAGGAGGAGAGTCAGTTCCTCTCTGAGACTGTTCTGAACAGATTGCCTATCATTAGCAATTAGGATTTTCCAGCACCCTGGGGGACCACAGCTAGGAGGCTTTACTGCTCATCATTTTAAGCTCTCATATGTTAATTCTCAACAGTCCTATTTTGTTAGTTACATGGAGATTGTTTCTTTCTCTAGGAAGGAGACTGGGGTCCAGTGCACTACAAGTTTGTCCTCAGATATGCAGTTCAACACTGTGAGTGTGTTTATGGTGGGTCTACCTTGTGAGAACAATAAGGGAAATGCAATGCACCTATTATTTGGCAGAAGACATACAGACACACAAGTTTGCAAATGCTAGATAAGTTTGGGAGTAAGAAAATTAGCATGGATACTCAGGGAAAAAATGCCATAGATCAGAGATAGGAGAAAAATTTTTTTCTTTTGTTGTTTGGTTTTGTAATTATTTTATTTTACGTATGTGTTTTTCCTTCATATATGTATGTGTCCACTATTTGCATGCCTGCTGACCATAGAGGTCAGAAGAGGGCATCAGATCCCCTGGAACAGGAGTTTTAGATGGTTGTGAACCTCCATGTGGGTGCTGGGAATCCAACTCTGCTCTTCGGCGAGAGCAATGAGTGCTCTCAACTGCCACGCCATCTCTCCAGCCTGTGCTTCTACATTCCAAGCAACTGGGATTATATTCCACCAGAAGCTTCAGAACTAAACCACATTCAAACCATGCAAGGTGTTACACTCAGTGTTCTTCACACAAACAAAATATTTTATGTCTAATATAACTGTGTTGGCTCTGTAGAATTCTTCGTGCCCTAACCCACATGTACATCAGGCCTACAGTTATCGTGTTCGAACAGTATTTCTAAAAAGCAGATGGTGTAACTTACATTTCTGTTTTGAACTCTGATTTAACAGATTTCCCTTTTTTGAGTACTATTTAAAAATGCAGGCTCTACCTTGGAAGGAAGCCACATTCTGTTTTAGGTACACGGATACCCTTGATGAAGAAGTGCTGTCTGTTGGCTCTTACTGCCAGGTCTCATCACATTAGTGTATCCCACAGAAAAGCTCTTTGAGCTTTCTCAATTCAAATAAATGCCTTATCCTGGGAGTGCCTTGAATTTTCAAAACCTGCTCTCAATAAGAGGGAGTTATGTGATAACTTTTTAAACTAAACTTTGTGAGTTATCTAGACATGGCTATAGGAGATAGCCCTAGGTATAGAAGTGTTCTAGTCATGGGTAGTCAGTGAGCAAGGAGTATCCTGTTCCTAAGCACTATTCCAGAAGAAAATGTTTTTACTAGAAGAGGAGGCCTACTCATGTGCATATGAGACAACCAAGTTGTTTCTGGATGGTTTCTTCCCTGGATCTTTACAGGAAGAATGGATGAATAAGGAGATTCTGAAAGTTGTTAAACTTTGGCAGATTCTTCTTTGTTAGCCACACCCTCTTTGCTTGCTGGTGTTCATTCAGCTTCAGTCCTACTCTGTTGCAAACTCAAGAACAGTTCTCTGATAGGTGTGCAGAATGGTCAAGAACATTTGCCCCGGGATATCTCACATTTGCTTCTCTTCTCCACATCTAAGATGGTGCCAGACCAAGCTACCACCCCTGCTTCTCTTACCCTTCACTTTCTTTAAATTTATCCCCAAGGCCAGGCAAACCTTCTAGTTGAGCACTTTATAACTCACACAGTACCATTTGTCACCAGAGGGAAGGTCTTTCTTACTCTCTTCCACAGTCTTCCTTGATACTTGACACCACTGAAGTCCAAAGTGTACTCACAGTATGTCTGAACTCCTGTGTCTTTCCCACCATTCCATAGTAACTGTGTGTCCCACCTTCTCTCAACCCTATGATTATTTCTGTGCCAGCCACCATCATGACTTTTATGCCATGTCTGACATAATCTACAACTGGATATACATCAAATCATCGGTTGCTCTACATCCATCAATTAAGGAAAAAGCTCTCAGATGCATTGTGATGTGCTGGACACATCGAGGTCAACAGAAAGCATTTTATTGTTTGATGCATATGAACACCAAATTGCCAACCTTGGTATTGATGAGTATTAAGCACAATTTCTCCCTGTCTTCATTTAGAAAGAACACATACATGTACACAGAAAACCTATTGTATTTACTGCTCAGGTTTTCATTACTTTATTCATAGATTTTATATAGATTTTTTTTCATAGATTTTGAGTAACTACTAGCTAAGCTCTATTCTAGCATTCTCCTCCCCTTCTTTCTTGTTAGTGATAGAGCCATGTCTCTGAATTTCAGCAGAGCTCTCAGACCTAGGTAGATCCTACATTTTTCTAACTTGCAGTAAGATAAGTGTGATGGCTGCTCTTGGTTGTCAACTTGATTGCAATCTGGAATTAACTAAAACTCAAAACTAGAGGGGCCCAACTGTGAGGGGTTTGTGTTTAATTTGAGGAGGAGAAAGTCTGTTTTTAACACAGATCATTGAGATGGGAAGACATGCCTTTAATCCAGAATTTCTGAGGTGGAAAGATCCATCTCTAATCTGGGCCACACCTTCTGGATATTATAGAAGGTCATGAAATAAGAAAGGCTTTGCTGCCTGCTGCCTGC